GTAGCAAGTAACAGATGGAAATTGTCCGTTTAGTCTGGAACCCAACCCTATTGTAGTGCTTCACGATCAAATGTGTGGTGTTTTCCTGTACTGCTGTGCTATTTATTCACATATGAGTGGATTGTTAGAAATAATCATTCAGATAACAAAACTTTAACAACTTCTTGTTTTGTGTGTGTGTGTGTAACAGCAGTAGTAGGGCTGATGTGGTTAGAGTGAGCTGTAGATTTCCTTGGTTTCTAGGAGCAGAGTTAACTTGCCCACTCTTAAGAAATGTATGTTTGTGGTTCTAATTTGATTTTGTAAAATAGTTGTCTAATTTTTTAATGGAAATTCTGTACCCGTTAAATTAAAAAACCCCTCTAAACGCCAACATTGTTCTTACAATAAATATGCACTATTTTATTTATTTTATTTATGTTATTTATAGCCTGCCTTTCTCACTTAGACTCAATGCGGATTGCAATGGAGTGAGTCAATACGGTTGGACAGAATGGGATATTCAGTGAACAATGCAATAGGAATTAGGGCTGTAAAACCAGCCGAAAGTAAAAAAACCAAAAACCAGAACTGAAGCAAAGAATGAGATAGTCAATGATGTCAAAATTGCATAGCCGGATCCTAGTTTCAGCAAGCCATGCATGGTAGCATAGACCACAGTCCCTGATAATTTATCTAAGTAACTTTGTGAAACATTTAGTACAATGCAACTCTATTGCTGGCATAGATAAGCCCTCTTGAATAATTGAGTTTTGCATCGTTTGCGGAAAGCCAGGAGAATGGGAGCCTTCCTGACCCCCTCAGGCAGGCCTCAGTGGAGAAGGCATGTGCCTGGGCAGTTGTTGATTTTGCCCATTTGCAGGTTGGCATCTGTAGAAGACCCTGCTCTGATGTTGTGGCAGAGTGTGGGGGAGAAGCAGTCTCGCATGTAAGGATCGAAGGCCACGAAGGGCTTTGTATGTAATAGCTAATCTTAAATGGAGCCTGGCAACTGATGGGCATCCAGTGAAGTGCCCGCAGGATGGGAGTAATGCGTATGCCAAAACAATAGTGATAACACAGTACAATGAGTACAGAAAACAACAAGCACTGTATAAATAACGCAGACCATGGAGTGCACAAAGGTCATGCAAAGGAAATTTATAACAAAAGCAAAAATAACAAGGGACCACATATATCAGTAAAGCAAGATTACATCATAAAATGTGCAAGTCCATAAATAGTATACATAAGTTCATAAGTAGTTGACGAAGACTCCGGATTTTGATCTTCGTTTCGAGGGTTCTTCTTCAAAGAGTTCGAACTACTTCATCAAGTACTGATAATGTACAGAAGACTTCAATCATGTATATGTAGGAAAAATCCTTCACAAAGCACTCATAAAGCACAGAAGCCTTCAGACTAGTAATACAGGAAAAATTCAGTCCTAATACTAATATAAAGCCGAGCATCCGATCAATAGTGGAACATGTTCTCAAATAGTAAGCCTCCATGGTCTGCATTATTTATACAGTAATACGTATGCGCCATCTAGCTCTTGATAGTAACTGAGCAAAGGCATTCTGCACCAGCTGGAATTTCAGAACTAATTTTGAGGGCAGACCAATGTACAGTGCATTACAGTAACTCCTCTTGATGTTACTGTGGCATGGATCCAGGTGGCCAGATCAGACATATCAAGGTAAAGGGCCATCTTTTGGGCTAGGCAGAGTTGGAAGAAAGGTTTTTTTGCAGATGCATTAACTTCTCCAGTAACAACACTTGGTCTAGTATAACCCCAAGGCTTGAGTCAGCAAGAGTCACCTGAACTCCATCAAACCCCCAAGGGTTGAGTCAGCAAGGGTCAGCTGAACTCCATCAAAAGCACAATGTCCTTCAAGACCTTCTCCTTCTCAACCTCTTTTTTCAGGGTTTAGTTTCAATTTGTTCACTGTTAGCTAAATTGCCACAGCACCCAGGCAGTGATTCAAGACCTCTACTGCCTTAGACATTAAAGAAATACTTATACAGAGCAAAAAAATGGAATATATGTATTACCCTCTTTATATTTCAGAAAAAAACTATCCCTTTCACTTGATTATCCACTGTAAACCTACTATACTGAGCCCAGAACTGGGCAAAGATACTGATTTCCCTCAGGAACCATACATGGGTCCCGGTCACACGGGCCTGAAAAAGTGGGGGGGGGGAGCGTGGCTGTTTGCCCCGGAGCACAATAACGTGCGGCCACCCGATCACACGTCCTGTCGAGGTCCCGTGGTTAGTGGGTGAGGTGCCGATCACACAGCTATCCAGCAGCGCGGCAAAGAAGCGGCGCAGCGCAATCACAGCAGCATTCGCTAGGCGCTGCTCCCATGGCAAATGGGTGTTCGTTTTACCAGTTTGTGCACATGTGCTGTTGGGCACTTTTGTGCATCCTGCGGAGACTGGAGGGGGAACCCTTGTTTGTGAAGGAACATCGGCGGGCACCAGATGCCACGGGAGTCCACTGGAAACGCAATCAGACGCCCGCCCTTGCCCCGCGGTGTCTGGAAACCAGTACCTCATAGGTATTGGGTTTTAGTCTGCATTTTTGGCAGGACGCCACGGGATAGCCACGGGAGCACTACGCTTCCCAGATGTTGCGGTATGATCACGCCCGGAAAATCCACTTATCATCCGTATCTTTAGCACGGCAAATGCTCCGTGTGACCGGGGCCATTGTTAGATATTTTTCTTCTGTGAATGGGATAATATCGATTGTAACTGGGGAAGTTAATTTGTTACTGATTGAATGGAAACAAACAAACTGGGGAAGTCCCATTCATTTCATTCATTATGGTAACGCAAACAAAGGGTGAAAACAGAAAATGAATGAATAGCATTTGTTACCTCCACTTCCTTTTCTACTTTCCCTTGCTCCTAGTGCACTTACAATTCTGTAGGCTAATGCTGTGGCCAGGCAGGTGGGAAAAATTGTTTATTCTCATAAGGACATAAGTAGAGCTGTCTGGTTCAGACCAGTGGTCTATGTTGTCTAGCATACTGTTTCACAAAGCAGCTGCCCTGGAGGGTCAAACGAACCAGGCATAGAGGTTGAGGCCTTCCTCCCAGTGCTGGTATTCAGCGGTTTGCTGCTTCTGTATATGGAAGTTCCCTTTAGTCATCGTGGCTAGTAGCCACCAATGGACCTCTTCTTCATGAATCTAACCCCCCTTTTAAAACCATCTATTTATTTTTGTGGCCATCACTCTGTGTTCTTACCCCACCCTTGGTGTCTAATGTACAGTTTCTGACTTGTCAAAGGCATCACGTCTCATTGCATTCTGGGAATTTTTAGTATCAGATGCTGGACATGACGATGGTTTTCTAGCTTGTACCACAGTGTGGCATCTAAAATGTTTTGGAAATAGTGTAGTGGAGGAAGGGGAGAGGAGGAGGATGCACTGAAATCAATGAGAGGGAAATGAATTCAATAACGGTAGTTAAAACAAAGAAATCTACATACATGTAATATTAACAGTAGCATGATCTGTGTTTTACATAGCCATTCCTCCATTTTTGTTCCACTGTAATTTTGGCAGAAATTGAGAAGTTATACATATAGTTGGTTTGTTTTCTTTTACCCAGGCTTTCTACCAAGTATTTGAGTAGAAAGTTTGTGTTTAATTTTCTTTGGATTGGGCATGTTTCTGTAGACTGGTACCCAAACGACAATTTTGGGTGGAAAACATGCCAGATATCATTGTAGAAACTTATGAGCTGTGCTTAAGAGCAGAAGCCATGGGGTCTTCCAGCATTCTCCCATCCAGGTCCTGGCCAGAACCAGGCTTACTTAGCTGAAGAACTTGGATGGTGTTGGGCATTTTCAATATTGGGAAGAGATATGCTGCTGCAAGTAAGAATGGATCCTTAAAGCTCATAGAATCAGAGTTGGAAGGGACCTCCAGGATCATCTAGTCCAACCTCCTGCACAATGCAGGAAATTTACAAATGCCTCCCCCTACACTCCCAGTGACCCCTGTTCCATGCCCAGAAGATGACAAAAAACCTCCAGGATTCTCAGCCAAACTGGCCTGGAGAAAAATTGCTTCCTGACCTCAAATTGGCAATCACCATTTTCCCTGGGTTTGTAACAAAGGGCCACAAGAACTCAGCACTGAGGCAACCCTTCCTGCCCTCCCTCTCATGATGTACCTAAGTTCACAGAATCAGCATTACTGTCAGATGGCCATCTAGCCTCAGTTTAAAAACCTCCAAAGAAGGAGAGCCCACCACTTCCTGAGTAAGTCTGTTCCACTGAGGAACCACTCTGACTGTCAGGAAATTCTTCCTAATGTTTAACTGAAAACTCTTCTGATTTAATTTCATCCCGTTAGTTCTGGTCTGACCATCTGCGGCAACAGAAAACAACTCTGCACCATCCTCTATATGACAGCCCTTCAATTTCTTAAAGGTGGTTATCATATCACCTCTCAGTGATAGCAGATCAACCGTTTGATCTTCTCATTCAGGGTTAAGAATGCATCTTTTTCTTGCAGTCCCTGACTGTGGTATCTGGAATGGAGGCAATTTCACTCTTGAGCATTAACTTTAACCATTAGTTCTTGGTGGAAGCTGCTATGAATGAGGGATACTTCATATGCAGAACCTTCCCCTCATAATGTTGGTCATGTATAAGGGTAAAAGAGAAGAGAGAAAGCTGGTTCTGTGGTTTTGTTCATTATGGTATTGATCGACATCTTTTAGGCATTTAAAAAGCATGGTGACTTATCCTGTGCTCAAATTGAAGTTATTCCTGACTGTGAAAACAGCTTTTTTTTTTAGTATGGACTTTTTTTAAAAAAGTAAAGCTAAGCAAAGTGGTAGTAGTTGAACTGCAATATTCAGAGTTGAGTTTGCTGTAGTCTTCTGCATATTTAAATAAATGAGAACCTGTTTGGTTTTTCCCCAAAAAGTTAAAATAAAATCTGCAAGTCTTAAATTATTCCAATTTTCAGAGTATCTTCTTTTATTTTTAGATGAATCTGCGTTCTGTATTTACTGCAGAACAACAAAGGATATTGCAGCGTTATTATGAAAATGGAATGACAAATCAGAGTAAAAATTGCTTTCAGCTCATATTACAGTGTGCACAAGAAACTAAGCTGGACTTCAGTGTAGTCAGGGTAAGTACTGAGGTCTTCCATGCTCAAATTTACATAACAGTATAACAAATACACTTGTTTGCTTATTTATCTGCAGGGCATGGAGCCATTAAGAAACTGAAAACTTCATTCCCTTGGAATAATGTGTGCTTTGTTTTTTTCTATTGACACCTTTTTTCCTACCCCATTGGCAGCTCTTTGTAATTTGCTCTGGTGTTTGAGAGAGTGCTTTGAAGTGCTTTCATCTTGTCCAGCCAACATGAGTCTCTTTAACATTTGAAGTCAGGGATTTTTGTTGAAAAATCTGGCTTTTGTGCCTCCTTGAGAATCTTACTAAAAATTCCGTTTGGATACTTGATTTAAAAAAACCCTAGGTTGTTTGAAGTGCTTTACGCATAAGTGTATACTTTAAACATCAGAGCTATATATCTTTTTAAAAAAAGAATAGCATGAGCATCATACCTCAGGGATATATATTTGGTTGCAACACCATGTACAGGCAACCCTGCGTTTGCCTCTGTGTAATCAATGAAATGACTGTTGGTTGCATTTGTATGTTGGTACAACATGCAAAACAGGGTAGGCATTTTGGTTCATGATTTGTTAGGCATAAAATGTGACGTGTCATCTGTTTAAAGATAGCACTTTCCTCCACTAAATGTGTGTCTTTTTTCATGTCTGGTAAGGAGGACATAGGGAAATAAAGGAAGATTAGGGAACTAAAGGAAGATTGACAGGTTCTCAAACTGGCTTGAAAATAAGGAAGAATCTCACCGGGTGAGAGCTTCCGCTTACAAATGCAAATCATGTTTTACTGCTATTCTTGTGGGTGATTAGGTACATGCCATTAAAGGATTGCTAACTCTTGTGGGTGGGGTGGGGAGGTGTGCAATCTCTGTGACTGGAATGGGTAATCTAGGAATCTGAAAAGTTTTGCTAGTCTCGTAGATTGCTTGTTTGAAGGAATTGCTTGATATTGCTGTCTGCAAGAAACAAAAGACCTCCTGCTTGATAGGAGAACCTGCAGATGGTGGTTCTTCTGCAGAATGGCCCCTCATTTTTCATCTGTTGTCTGTGTTACTAAGGTATGCGTATGTTGGGTGTGTGTGTGAGAATATTTGTGTGATTTAAAAATCCCACTTCAGGGGTTCATACGAAGTCTTCACAAGCCTTTCCTCGCTTGTATGCAGTAATCTTGACCAAAGAATGTTATTGAACAATATCCTCTCTCAATAGTGTGTTACCCAAATACAAAGTGCGTGCTTTGCATACTGGACTGTATCTTTCACTGTGTGTCCTTTTAGTCACACTTGTGATCAGAAAGGACTGTGTTCCATTTGTATGTGTGTTAATGGATCAGGTGACTAAAAATAAAAGCATACTGTATGGCAGATGTGCACTGTGTATATTTTATATTGGGGTACTGTACCTTTTTAAAGCAAGAAATTGCAAGTAGATAAATAGGTACCACTTCAGTGGGAAGGTAACAGCGTTCCGTGCGCCTTGCTGTTTAGTCATGCCGGCCACATGAACACGGAATCGTCTTCAGACAGTGCTGGCTCTTCAGCTTTGAAACGGAGACGAGCACCGGATTCGACTGGCTTTCGAGCAAGGGAACCTTTACCTTTACTTTACTGTACCTTTCTTAAAACTTACCAGCAGCCATTAGTAATTTTGAGTACAGATTCAGAAAGTATCGGCAGATCACAATTAACAAGGGCTACAAAAGTGTGCTAGGCATATTGGTAGGTATATTTTGCTTCTGGAAGAAGCAAGATATTTCTACAATGCTGTTAAATTTACCTTATAGCAAATAGTAGAGGTCTGTAGTATTTTGAAGAAACATCGTAGAGGTCCCTCGTGGTATGAAAACACAGAATTGCCATTTAGAAAGAACCTTGTTCATTTAAACTTTCTTTTTAAACACTTCTTATGTAATCAATCTGTACTGTGGAAGAACTGTTCTGTGAACCCAAGTAGGATTTATACCGATTCCAGTAAGAAATAAATCCAGTTGCAGGTGTAAAGTTCTTTATGGGACATTTGTGGAGTAGCGATCACCAAGCCTGATAACTGACCAGTTGTTTGCAGAGAAAGGATTGAGAGTAGGTGAAAGAAGGTGAGAACAACCCAGAGGAATGAATGAGAATTGGGATCTGGGTGGAATGCCACACCAGACTGTTTATATATTGGAACAGATGAAAGCACACACACACACACACACACACACACACACACACACGAGAAATTAATAGTGTATTGCCCTTCCATGTAAACTGCCTTGGGGATCCTGCTGGATAAAAAAGTGAAGGAGAGAAATCAAGTCAATTAAATACTTAAATATAATTTCTATAGCTCCCACATGGTGGCTATAGTTTGATACTGGCCCTTAGAAATGTATATTTCTAAGCAGAATGAAAGACTGTGGATTCTTTTGAAATGCTTTCTGTCTTCTACGGAGACCTGTCAGTAATGCTGCAGTTTTCATTTCAAGAGAAATAATTTTCACAAAATATTAAAAAATGAAATGCAGGAAATAAACACCCAATGCTTCAACTATTCTCCCCTGGAGAAATCTGAAATTAAAATCCAGTAGTTTATTGAACTACTGATATATTGTCGACCACTTTGATACATGTTAAAAGAATAAAAACTCCCAAGAGTTGAAAAATGATGACACTGGGAAACAAATGAAATTTAAGGGAGTTGATGCTTTTTTGAATAAACATAACTTTATTCCTGTTCCTACAGAAAGTAGATTCTTGAAAATACATCCTGTCTGTTAAAAATGTGTAATTAAGTTTGTAACACGCTTCTGTTAAGGCTTTGTAGTGTGTATGTGTACTGGTAGATCAGGGTATTTAAGTTCCTACTTGATACAGAAACTTCGTAAGCAAACCAGAGCGCAAACTGCTTTGCTTTCCCCCCTGCTCTATCTAGAGTTGCCAGTTGACCTGGGTGGGAGGCTGGACTGCTGTTGTTGTTGTGGATTTTTTTTTTTTTGCATTTTTGTTGTTGCTGCTTTACAAAAGTTGCTTTTAAGAATGTAACTGTAAAGACTGGTTAAAAAGCTGTCCCTGTCCCGTGGGAAAAGACTAGAGCTGGAAAGTAGATGGCCCATGCTACTTGGTGTCCAGAATTTCCATAGAAAAATTTAGAAGGATTCTAGGAAAGACCCATGGTGGAATCTTGCACTCTGGTTGCTCAGTTACTGGTAAAGTATATGGAGGATGAATGTAAGTGGGAATTAATGGTAGAGGTCATTTGTGCTTCGCATCCATGTTGTCTGTTTAGCCTTTGTAGCACAGAGCTCTCTGTGGTCCTTTAGTTTTGAGTTAAAGTAATTTGGATGAGACCTTTTTCCTCATGTATCCTTTTGTGTTTGCAGACCTGGGTTGGCAACAAAAGAAGAAAGATGAGCAGCAAGAGCATTGTGGATTCTGGAGGTACTCCATCGGGGACTGTTGCTAGCACTCTGACCATGCCTCCGGAAGTGGCGGTCCGAAATGTGGTCAGCATAGCTCGCTCTCAAAGCCAGCAGTCATCTTGGACATCCTCCAACAACGATGTGATAGTAACTGGCATATACAACCCAGCCAGTTCCTCTGGCAGACTGGTGTCCTCCAAACAGACTAATGCTTTGATGAACGATATGCATAAAAGCTCTCTTCAGAGGCCACCTGGAAAAAGTGAGCCAGAATTTCAGCGGCAGCACATTTCGGTGGCCCGGCAAGCACCCCATTGTAAAAACGCCTCGCTGTTTCTAGGAGAGAAAACGATCATCTTGTCAAGGCAAACCAGCGTGTTGAATTCAGCAAATTCCATTTATAATCACAGTAAGAAAAGTTACGGTGGTTCTTCAGTTCAGACTGCGGAGTTGGTTTTACCTCAGAAGCCTGTGTTGTGCCACAGGCCGTATAAAGTGGAGCAGATGGGGTGTCAAAGGCTACAGAAACAGGAACATCCGATCCTTGCCTCACACATTCCATCTGGACAAAGGGCTAATATGAGGGACCCTTCCTGCAGCACGCACAACTTGGAAATCCGTGAGGTTTTCTCCTTGGCTGTTACCGATCAACCTCAGCGAATCCTGGGTGGAAACACACAGAAGTCATCTTCGGGAGAAGGCAGTTGTCTATCCATTGCCATGGAAACGGGGGATGTCGATGATGAATATGCGAGAGAAGAAGAGTTGGCCTCAATGGGTGCTCAGATACACAGTTATTCAAGATTAAGTGGTTCATCCCTTAGGTCAGAGAATCCAAGCACAGGTTTGCCTGCGTCAGGAAGAAGCGTCCGTTGCAGTTCGCACGTGGTCAACACGCGGGACTTACATGACAACATCATGTATCATAACAGAGACTACCACTTGCCTCCACGGACCTCCTTACACACTACATCCAGTACACTGTACAGCAGTTCTTACCCATCAAGAAGCAACCTTTCTTCGCATTTTGCAGCATCCAATCAGCTAAGGCTGTCTCAAAACCAAAACAATTACCAGGTAATTAGTGTTCTTTTTATGTTAAAAGATGTAGTTTTTTTTTTTTTTATGGGCAGGGCCTTCCTTTTTTTGTCAGAAGCACAAGCTGCATAGTCTCAGCTCACTGCGCTGAAGTTGGCTTACGTGTTGATTGCACAGAAAATGTCTCTTGCCTATTGTTAAATGATGATGTACTCCACATCATCCACATTCCTGAGCATCCGACCTTACATACCAGCACATGCAGCTACAAGATTTTTCACAGCACGCTGGAGCCAGGGACATCATCTTTCTGTTTATCGTGGCTACATTTTCTTATCCTGCTCATCCTCTAAAGAACTCGGGGTGGTGTACATGCCAGTTCTCCTTTCCCCTTTTTATTCCCACAAACACCCTGTATATCAGGTTAAACTGAGAGAGTGACGCAGCGCTTTCATGATGCAGTGGGGATTTGAACTTGGGTCTCCCAGATCCTAGTTCCACACCCCTAAACTTCTACCCACATTGGATCTCAGGGATGATCTTTAGAACCATCTTGATTGTCAGTCTCCCAGTGGATCAACGTCTGTTTTTGTTTTTCTATTGCTAACTTAGGTTCCATACGAAACCAATCCGTCCTTCTTTGGAACAAGTATTATACTTAGGGCTTTTAGGTCTTAGAGGGGAGCAGTGAAGATGGTACCTAACATGGCCATTTGGACGTTTGTGCCAATATTCCTCTCTGGGATGTATGGTTTGTTGCTCTTACTATTGTTGTCCAAATTATCCACAGATCGAAATGACAGAGCTTGAATTCATGGGCCATCGTCCTAGTATACAAATAGGTGATGCATCACTAGTGTGCAAGCTTGTTTTACTGCAGACCTTGACTATGAATCAAAGTTGGCAGTATGCACCTTTATGAATTTATTACTGGTGAACTCAGTTGGCTGTTTGGTTAGTAGTTAGTCAAAATGCCAAAGGTTTTTAAAATTGTTCGTATAAATCTAATTTGGTCATGCATCCAGTAAAATCCATTTTTAATACTACAGAGGGTCAATAGAATTGTATTTCTAGGACAGTGACTCAAAATTAGTGGAGCCAGGAGTAGAAATTAATCTTAATCTTTCATCCCACCACAAATTAGTTGGGTCAAGATTGCTTGGTTTATAGAGAGAGTAAACTGTACATAATCATACTAATTTGGCTCTGGAAGCAATTTGGCTTTCTATGATGAGTAAATATCTTGAAAGAATAGGGTATGTAATAGATTTTGTTCTATATGAAATATTTCATCATCAGGTGTATTTTATTTAAAAGCAGTAACAGCATGAACCAGTCAAAACCTAGCTCACAGCCTCGGTTTATTATTTTAAAGAAGTTGTTTAATTTCTGTCTTTAGAAATTAAATATAAACTGGGTAAAACTCTCACTCAGAGGCCCACCTATCTTTTATTGAAACAACTGCATTTAAGATTTTTAAAGTAGGTTTTCATTGCAAATTATTAGGTATGTTTCTCTTGTTTGTGGTTGTCACCTCCTTTTTAGAATCCGTCTCGTTCCGTTGCTCTTGTTTAATAAAAGAGTAAAACCTGTGGGATATATTTTGTACCGTTGATAGGCCAATTATAGGTTAAATTTTCCTGTTTGAAAATCAGAACAGTTGTGATCTCTTTGCTTGATTATGAAAAGCCATTGACTGGGGACATGAGCTCATTTTTCCCCCTGACAGTTTTAATGTAACTAAATTTGATTATAGACTAGCAAATTGCTAATGGCTTTCATTGGTAGTAGAACTGTTTGCATGCAGAAATGATATTGTATTACGTTCACTGTTGTGGTACTGATACTTATTGAAATGTCTTTTTTTTTTTTGACTGTCAATTTTGTGTCTTAAGATGTATTTTTTATTTAAATCGTGTTATTGCACATACACCAGGCTTATAGGTTTGAAAAGTGGTGGTCTGTCTGTTCACTTTTAGAAGCAAACCCTGTGCCTATGGCATCATGTTGTGACATTCCATCAAGCAGGGTGCTGGGGGAGGTGCAGCCATGCCAACTAAGTGATGCTAGGGTTGCCAGCTCTGGGTTGGGAAATACCTGGAGATTTTGGGGTGGACTCTGGGGAGGACAGGGTTTGGGGAGGGGAAGGACCTCAGCACAGCATAATGCCATGGAATCCACCCTCCAAAGCAGCTGTTTTCTCCAAGGGAACTGATCTCTTGCATTAGGTGATCAATTGTAATTCCAGGAGATCTCCAGCTACCCCCTGGAGGTTGGCAACCCAAAGTGTGGTGCATTCGCTCCAAAATGTCTGAGATGCTTGCTGTTGGAAAGCCACAGCAGTTTCTCAGTAATGGCCTGTGCTGAACCTGGTATAAAATATCCCATATAAATTGTTTTGCCAACCCATCCATCCAGATATACTGGCTGCAATGGATGCAGGTTGCCCAGAAAGGATTGTTATACTATTAAGGTGAGTAGTTTAATCTCAAGGGTGGATAAAAAGAGCCCTGCTGGATCATATCAAGTATACGGACGCCTCTCATTCCAGCATTGGTTAGCCAGATGTCTCCAGGAAGCACATGAACAGGGCACGGATCCTCTTCCCCGTTGTTTCTAGTCCTTCTCGTCTGGTTCTTGGAGGTACACTGCCTTTAAACATGGGAGATATATTTGGCTATCCTGGCTAATAGCTGCTGGTAAACAAAAAATGTGTCTGATCCTTTTGAGGTCTTGTTATTATGACCACATCTTGTGGTGATGAGTGTCTTTTGTGAATTATGCAGTGTTTAATCCTGACATTTCATCATCCCCTTCCTTATGTGAAAGAACGTATGAGTTGTTCAGCTGTCTCAGAAAGAACTTGTTTAGGGCAAGACTCTGGAATGATGGCAGCATTTGCATGACAATTAGATGACTTAAGTGTGTAGAGGCTTTACAAATGACTCAGTGGTGGTATGGAGTGGTCATAATTTGGATTCAGTGTGTACACTGACTTAGTGACAGTCTAGTATTGCAGTAATTGGGACGCTGCTGTACAGGTCTGGGATCTTTCTGGCTTGGTCTCTGAAAAAGTAATCGTAGTAATGCTATTGCTACTACAAAAAAGGCAACCTTACAGTTGTCAGAATATACTGTGAAATGGAAATGAAGATATTTTGTTCAATCCATTAACATTGGATTAGATTAGATTTTCTCTTTGTGTATTGGAATTACTGAGTTACTGCATTTTTTTTTTTTACCAGACCCTAATACTATTGCTAGTGAAACTGCAGGTAATAGTGATGCAGAAGTTTGCTCCTGACACACAATGAAAAATATTCCTGTGACACAGGCCGTGGGATCTTGACAAGGGCAAGTTCATGGTAGTTATTCAGTGGGGTCATACAGGACAAATTCTTGGGGGACTCTGCCCTAATTAGGCCAAAGTCCAGTTAATCTATCAAAACATTTTTTTGAATGGAAAATGTTTAGAAATTGCACAAATTATGGATTTTGGGTGTCTTGACTACTGCCATTTGTCAAGAGAACACGCTGGTCATAGCGAACACCCTCTTCCAACATCCTAAGAGGCAGCTCTACACATGGACACCACCAGGTGGGCAACACTGAAATCAGATCGATTATATCATTTGCAGTCAAAAATTGAGAAGCCCTATACAGTCAGTAAAAACAAGACCTGGAGCTGACTGTAGCTCAGATCATGAACTACTCATTGCAAAATTCAGGCTTAAGCCGAATAAAGTTGGGCAAACCACTAGGCCATTCAGATTTGACCTAGATCACATCCCTTATGAATATACAGTGGAAGTGAAGAATAGGTTTAAGGGACTAGATTTGATAAAATGCCTGAAGAACTAAAGACGGAGGTTCATGACATTGTACAGGAGGCAGCAATCAGCAACATCCCAAAGAAAAAGAAATGCAAGAAAGTAGAGTGGCTGTCTGATGAGGCTTTACAAATAGCTGAGGAAAGAAGGAAAGTGAAAGGCAAAGGTGAAAAGGAGAGATTTACCCAACTGAATGCAGATTTCCAGAGAACAGGAAGGAGAGATAAGGAGGCTTTCCTGAATGAACCATGCAAAGTAATAGAGGAAAACAATAGAATGGGAAGGACTAGAGATCTCTTCAAGAAAATTGGAGAAATCAAGGGAGCGTTCCATGCAAAGCTGGCTATGATAAAGGATAAAAACAGTAGGGACCTAACAGAAGCAAAAGATATTAGGAAGAGATGGCAAGAATATACAGAATAACTATACAAGAAGGACCTCAATATCCTTGACAACCACAACAGTGTGATCACTAACCTTGAGCCAGACATCCTGGAATGCGAAGTCAAATGGGCATTAGAAAGCATTACTAACAAAAAAGTTAGCGGAGGCGATGGTATCCCAGCTGAGTTATTCAAAATCTTAAAATATCATGCTGTTAAAGTGGTGCACTAAATATGCCAGCAAATTTGGAAAATGCAACAGTGGCCACAGGATTGGAAAAGGTCAGTTTACATTCCAATCTCAAAGAAGGGCAATGCCAAGAAATGTTCAAACTATCGCACAATTGCACTCATTTCACATGCTAGCAAGGTCATGCTCAAGATCCTACAAGCTAGGGTTCAACAGTACGTGGATAGAGAACTGCCAGAAGTACAAGTTGGGTTTCAAAGAGGTAGAGGAACTAGAGATCAAATTGCCAACATTCGCTGGATTATGGAGAAAGCAAAGGAGTACCAGAACAATATCTACTACTGCTTCATTGACTACGCTAAAGCCTTTGTTTGTGTGGATCACAACAAACTGTGGCAAGTCCTTAAAGAGATGGGAGTACCAGACCACCTCACATGACTCCTGAGAAACCTGTATAAGGGTCAAGAAGCAACAGCTAGAACTGGATATGGAACAACTGATTGGTTTAGCATAGGAAAAGGAGTATGACAAGGATGTATATTGTCACCCTGCTTATTTAATTTATATGCACAGTACATCATGTGAAATGACGGTCTGGATGAATCACAAGCCAGAATTAAGATTGCTGGGGAAAATATCAACAATCTCAGATATGCAGATGATACCACTCTAAAGGCAGAAAGTGGACCTAAAGAGTCTCTGGCTAGAATGAAAGAGGAGAACACAAAAGTTGGCTTGAAACACAGCATTTTTAAAAAACCAAAACCCTAAGATTATGGTATCCGGCCCCATCAGTCCTTGGCAAATAGAAGGGGAACTCATGGAAGCAGTGACAGAATTCATGTTCCTGGGATCCAAGATCACTGCAGACAGTGACTGCAGCCATGAAATTAAAAGACACCTGCTCCTAGGGAGGAAACCTATGGCAAACCTAGACGGCATAATAAAATGTAGAGACATTACCCTGCCAACAAAAGTCCACATGGTCAAAGCAATAGTATTCCCAGTAGTAATGTATGGCTGCGAGTGTTGAACCATAAGGAAGGCCGAGTACCGAAGAATAGATGCTTTGGAATTATGGTACTGGAGAAGACTCTTGAGAGTTCCTTGGACTGCAAGGAGATCAAATCAGTCAATCTTAAAATAAATCAACCTTGACTTTTCCCTGGAAGGCCAGATACTGAAGCTGAAGCTCAAATACTTTGGCCACCAAATGAGAAGGGAGCACTCACTGGAGAAGACCCTGATGTTGGGAATGGTGGAAGGTCAAAGAAGAAGGGGATGGCAAAGGATGAGATGGTTAGACAGTGTCTAACTCCAGAGGACGGTGGAAGACAGGAGGGCCTGGCGTGACGTGGTCCATGGGGTCGCAAAGAGTTGGACTCGACTGTGCGACTGAACAACAACAACAACAGAGTAGTGCCAGCTAAATATACACTTTTCTCCAGCTTTCCCACATCTTTTTTTCTTGTTATGGTTTTATCAAGCATTGAGCTCTTGTCAACGTTGAAATAAAGAGGCAACTGATAGGTGATAGAGATCATGATGAAGGCAAACAGAAAGGAATGTGAAGGATTTTCTCCTCTACAACAATTATAGCCAGATTGGCCCAGTGGTTGCCCAATCAACAAATGGAAAGTGGAGCTTCTAGGTTAGCCAGAACTTGTGTGTGGTAATCCTTGTTTAATAAAATTGCATTGATTATGCTACGATTACCCTTTTTGAACCCTTGAAACATTTCTTTTTCTATGCAAGGAAGAGGATAATAAATTTTTTACTTTTAAACAAAGTGCTACATACTGGGGGCCCACATATAACTGCAGGAAGGGGAAACAGATTGGAAATCCCACTCCCCACCTAGAGATATGAAGGCCTGGGGAATGAAATGGGGAAACAAATCAGAATAAAAAGTTTATTTTTCCCCCAAAGGACTTTTTCACTTTTTTCCAATAGAAAAAATGGGAAATTTTGGACAGCACTGAAAAAAATCCTGTAAAATATTTTCTTTTTGGATATCTTAAAAATTGGCTTGCCAACCTCCACGTGGTTACAAAAGTAGAGCGATCACGGGATAGGTTGTCAAACTAAGTATACACACTGTGAAGAATGACGAAAATTGCAATTTATATAAACAATTAAATTTATGTAATGCAATTAATATCTCAATTTCTATGTACCAAACATCGCAGCACTGACAAGAAAAGTTTGGCAATTATTGCTGTTTATTGCTGCTTCTTCCCACAAAGAAGCTGGTAAAACAGGCAATATAGCTGGCCTATTGGAGTAGTGTTTGTGAGCCTTGTGGAAGCACAGAACGGATGATAAGTCCGCTGACAACCTCCATCTCTTCCAGTATTCAACAAGGGCGAATCACAGCAAGGACATTTGATGGCTGGAATACATGGAGTTCACCTGTTGAATGAATGAATGTGACTGCATGAGCAGTTTATAAGGGACACAAAAAGATTGTTAAATTTTTGGTACATAGAAATCGAGATTAATTGCATTACATAAATTTAATTGCTTATATAAACTGCAATTTTCATCATTCCTCATGGTGTATATACTTAGTTTTACATCCTCCAGGTGGTGGCTGGAGATCTCCTGGGATTACAACTGATCTCCAGGTGTCAGAGATCAGTAGTTCACCTGGAGAAACTTTGGAAGATGGACTTTCTCCGCATAGGTCCCAGAGAGCACTACGGTCGGGGTCGCAACATCGTCTTGCGACCCTGGGCCCTAAAGAGGCCAGGCTTGTTGCCACGAGGGCCAGGTCCTTTTCGGTGGCGGCTCCTATCTGGTGGAACGAGCTCCCGGAGGAGATCAGGGCCCTGCGGGACCTGTTACAGTTCCGTAAGGCCTGCAAGACGGAGCTCTTCCGCCAGGCTTTTGAATAGGAGCCGCCGCCGTCACCACTACCACCAATGAGGGCCAGAACAGCAGCACCGCTGGATGTGGCTGAGTGGCCAAGGAACATCGGGGGGCCACATCATCCTCCCGTTTGACCCAAGGGCAGGTGCAATAGGGAGAGAGGTTGTCTGTCACGCGGGATCCTTGGGTGTTGCCCACTGTATTAAATTGTTTTAAATGTTTTACTGTGTTTTTATTGCACTGAGTGCCATACTGTGTAATCACGGTGCTGCATTGCACCCTATATTGTAAGCCACCCTGAGCCCGCGTGCGGGGAGGGCGGGGTATAAATAAAATCATATAAGGATACAGAGCCCACCATTTTCTCCAGGGGAACTGATCTCTGCCATCTGGAGAGCAGTTGTAATTTTGAGTGATCTCCAGCCCTCATCTGGAGATTGGCAACGATGGTTCCCCAGAAGGGAATGGTTAGTTTGGAGGGTGGAGTCTATGGCTTTGTACCTGTCCGAGGTCCCACGCCTCCTGAAACCTCACCCTCTCCAGGCTCCATCCCTCACATCTCCAGGAATTTCCCACCTGGAGTTGGCAACCCTATCTCCTTCCCAGCCAATCATCACCCTACCTTTATTTCCCCCTCACTCTTTAGCTTTCCACCCCCCACACACCTGCAGCCTCTCCTGTGCTCTGAAGCCCTGACTGCTACGTCACATTGGCTGTCATATGGGAGCCACCTCAGCAGCATATAAGGATACAGAGCCCACCATTTTCTCCAGGGGAACTGATCTCTGCCATCTGGAAAGCAGTTGTAATTCTGAGTGATCTGCAGCTCTCACCTGGAGATTGGACACATTTTACCTCAGAACAGCAAAACTGTTTAGAATGTTAGAGGCAAAAGCCAATCAAGTTGCATATGCAAACGACTTCTGTGTTCCGAGGCAGAGGCCAATGAGGCTGCATATGCAAATAACCTCTGTGTTCTGACTGGCTATGGGGGGGAGAGGAACAGCAAAATGTTTAGAATGTTGGAGGCAGGACTCAGGCAAAGCAGCCAGTGGATAGGGAGACCCTCTGAATGACAGATCAGAGAGCGAACTGATTTTGGAGTGTGTGGAATGTTCTAGAGAAGTGCCACCACCATTCAGCTTTTATTTATAAGGGAGATACCCCATTGAAGTCCTTCCCCTCCCAACACCCTGCTCTCCTCAGGCCCCACCCCTGAAATCTCCAGGTATATCCCAACCTGGAGTGGGCAATCCTATTTAAAAAGTGTTTATCTCAATGTTTTAGTTGCTGAAAATGTGTACCATGACCAATTGTATGTAAGACAATCTACAGTATTAATTGATAACTCCCATACACACTGTAGATATATGCAATGCTACGTTTATTGTTTAAATATGAATATTTTTTTGCCACAGTTAGTATGCTATAATGTGCTTGATAATAGATTGTTAGAGTTCAGGTTTTTAAATGTCATAGAATTTGTTTGATGTCCTGATAAGCTGATAGTCCTATTGTGACTCTATGAGAGTGTTTCAATCCAGACAATGCACTTTTTTTGCACACAACAGAATTTATTTTTTAATTTCAACTTTTCTATTTTCCCCTACTTCTCAGACATCAAAAACTAAGATACATATGCTAAGATAGCATAAGGTGCAGCAGTTTGCTGCTTTCTCTCAAGTACTGGGTACATTTCCAATTTTTCTTGTAGAACACTTGAAGCATTTATACTTTTAAATTCCCTGAATATGCCAGATAGCACAATTTTGTACACTAAATTATACATGATGTATTTTATGTTGTTAAAATAGTGTTTTGGTTTTGTAGGAAAGTAAGTATTGCATATATTTCATCCCCCCCCCCCCAAATTTTGGTTTTTTCCCTATTTAAATAAATTCCCACATGGCCTCAGAATTTCTCTGTTTCCTTCTTTGCCTTGACCCCAAAATCTCCCTCTTCCAGGGCTGTGTAAATCCTCAGTTACTTGAACAAGCTAGTTTCCTGTTTGTGAAGCATATTATTCAGTCCTCATCAGGTGGGTTGTAGGGGTTGGTGGTGAGAGGGCTTCTTTGGTTAATCTTTCTGTGTAGCAGAGTCATATCTTTCTGTGTAGCAGAGTGATCTTCCAGGCAAGTGAAGACCCTTACCATCTGCGGGTGGCCTGGTTTTGTTGCTTTCATGGTTGGCACAGGGATTGCCACTTTACTGTTGGATGTGGTATCCATGTGGATTTGTTTTGCCCAAGCTGTGCTCAATAAACTGCAGGTTTTGCCACATGAGTCTGTCTGATCATAACATTCTTTTTCCTTTCACAGATTTCAGGAAACCTTACTGTGCCTTGGATTACGGGTTGTTCCCGAAAAAGAGCAGTAAGTACTATGCATGGGAGCAACAAGGGGCCCACCAGATTCAGCATTTGAGTGATTTTTAAGTACTGTTCTTAGGAGGTATTAAACTGTTTTAGTTGTGTACGTTTTTGGTTTAGAGGAAATCCTTTCTCCTCCTGGTTTCTTTGGTGTGGCTTTTAAAAATATAGTGGAAACATCGTTAGATGTGATTATTATCCACCGACAGGTGCATTTTTTCTCGAGCAGTTCTGTATACTGTCTTTATCATCAATAAAATTGTTAGCAAATCTTATTTAAACTACTTCTGTAATCTGCAGACCTTTAATGGTACTACATTAGTAATGAGTGTAAACCATCTTCTGTGTACAGGGATGTCCTAAAATCATACCCGTTAAAGTTGAATGGATAGCTAGTTATCTCTATGCACAGTCCTCATAGCCAGTTTAAGTAATGGCATATCAGCAATAAAAACCTTAAATAAAACTGCAATTAGGAATCTTCTCTTTGTAAAATGGACTGGAATATGTTTTCAGTTGTCAGATACTTCTGCTTATGGATTGACGTCAGTGAAAGCAACAAGGAAAATCCAGTGGAGTGAAAAATAGCATTGCACAGCCCTTTGGAACTGCAGAATAAGGCTTTTCTTTTAAAAAAATGATGAGCATTGCTAATGGATGCATAACAAGGACAGCTTTAATTGATAGTTCCCAAAATAAAACCTTCATATTCAAAATTTATAGTCCATTTCAGCTAACTGTAGAAAGTTCCTCTCTTATATTCTCCAGACTGTTAAATAGTTTTGCCTTCTCTCTTGCTTTCTCATTAAATTAATTTACAGAGAATGAAATCCAGACTGCCTGGCACATAATAGAAAGGAAAATGCAGTGACAGAGGACTGTAAATCTTTTAGCGCTGCAATAACTCTAAATCTACCCTGGAAAAACAACAGTGCACAGATTCTTCCCTTAGTGTTGTTGTTTAACCATCTAACTATTAATTTGTGATAGTGTTAAATAGCTTGAATCCCTGCAATTGAACATGCTTTAAAAGCAATTTTAAATCTGTTCGTAGACTCTGAAGTCTAACAAATGGCACAATTTCTTGGTATTCATATAATCTCTCCATTTGCATAGTGAAATAGTAATCAAATGAGATTTGCGAAAGGGGGTGAAGTAATTTGTAAGTCTCCCAGTTATGGTAGGGAAACAAAATTGTTCACTCGGTTTTGTGACACAGAATGATTTTGGACGCCTTGAGATGCAAAGAAAATTGGCCCAAAGCTGAAAGGACTTGGAGATGTTCCACTGCATGGTAAATTTGAAGAAAGTATATAAAACAGTCTTTTAAGAAACTAAGTGTTAGAATCCTGGCTTGCAAAGTGGACAGTGATATAGGATGGAGTTGTCAAACATGCAGCCCATGGGCTGGATCCAGCCCCTGCAGGGCTCAAATCCAGCCCACGAGCAACTGGCTCCCTCTTTCCCTGGAGCTGCTGCCACTGCTGCATTACAACTCATTTTACCTAGCTTCCTCGAGACTTGATCTCTCTCTCTCACACAACACTCACACACACAAACAGAGCTCTTTTCAGTCGCTGCTTCCTGCTTCTTGTTTTCATGGGAGAGATACAAAGCCAAGCCTCGCCTCCTTCCATTGGCTGAGTTTTCCTCCTCTGGGAGGAAGGGAGGGGGCCGGAAAGAGCTAAAGACAGCAATGTCCATGGTTCCATTAAGACCGGCAAAGTTTTATTTCAGGCATAACCTTTTGTGTGCACGCACACTTGTTTTAGAGGGAGGGAGGATTCTTCTGAGAAGCACAATTTAAATTAAGATTGTTGTGATCCGCTGTTTTCTTTGAGACTTTATCTCTCTCTTTTTCACTCACTCTCTCTCTCACACACACATGTACATATGTTAAAAGGAAGGGGCGCTTTGGGATAAAGGGAAAGGAGAATTAAAAGGAAATTATTTTGGCTTATTCTGGCCCCTGCCACACAGGGGGGAAAAACATGGGCAAAGTGCGGCTTTTTAAAGCCGCACCAAAAGAGACACGTGGTGGCGGGATCACATAGATCCCCTGAGCCACCGCGCACTTCCTCGGGGGGAGCCACTGACAGGGAAGTGAGGCAGCCAAACTGCACATGTGTGAGCATGCGCAGTTCGGCTGGGAGCCGGGATTGCTACGAACGAAGAGCGCACCGGCGATGCTACGGCTGCGCTTGATGCGGCGTCCCAGGTAAGTCCTCCTCTGGGGGTGGTTCTTTTTTACAGCGCATTATTGGCCTGAAGGGACGGATCGGACGGGTGTGAGCTGATTCCCAGATGTTGCGGTGTGCTCGCGCCCATTTGCTGCGCCCCCAATCCGTCCCTCTCCCGGGCCAAAATCTCCCGTGTGACCGGGGCCACTGAAAAGTTTTTTTAAAGACTAGATTTCTCTGTTTTTATTTTCTTTCAAAAAGACTGATTAGGAATTAGAACACTTGGATTGGATTCCATTGTTTAAGGACTGGAAATAGATGGCTAAGTATTTAAAAATACATCTATGGTTCCTATATTCCAGTTCAAAAGGTCTCCCTTTCATCCCTCCCACCCCGCTGGCTGTCTTTCTTCACTCCCCCTTTGCTTTTTAAAGTGTTTCATTATTATCACTTGCATTATCATTATCAGCTTGCATTCTTTATTAGTGGAAAGGAACAGGAGTCCAGTAGCACCTAACAAAATTTGTGGCAAGGCATGAGCTTTCATGAGTCACTGTTCACTTCTTCAGCTAAAGCTAGAATGTGAGTCCATTGGTCCCTATAACTCGGAGAGTGGAGTGATTTCAGGTGCCAAATGACAATAGTGGGAACTGGTAATGAGACAGGAAACGTAGGTCTCAATTCAGTCCAGGAGGATGCATAGTCTTGAGCTTCATTATCAATTGCAGTTCAGCAGTCTCTCTAATCTCCCTTTGAAATTCCTTTGTAAGAGAACTGCTACTCTTAGGTCAGCAGCTGAATGTCCTGGAAGGTTAAATGTTGTCCCACTTTTTTTTTTAATGTTGTGGTTTCTAATGTCGGACTTATGGCTATTTATTCTTTGCATCCTCCTGGACCGAACTGAGACCTAGATTTCCTGTCTCATTACCAATGCTGGTATCTCCACACCTACTACCCCTCTGGAAATCATACCTAATCCAATCAAGCCTGCTATTGTCACTCACCTGCAGTTACCATTTGGCATCTGAAATCACCTTTATAAAGTTTATATCTCCGGTATCTCGTGTTGCATTTTATAGCACACATGGCCCGCCCTGACAAAATGACATTTATGTCAGATCCAGCCCTCATAACAAATGAGTTCGACGCCTCTGATATAGGAAGTTTCTAGCAGAGAGGTGTCCTGTTCTAATGCCATCTAGATTGGTGTGTGTTGACTGAGTCAGAATATGGCATGCTTACAAACCCACCCTGTTCTCCTCAGTACAGCAAAAATGTTTGAGACGTGCTTCACACTCCTTTTGTTGAGTAACTGGTTTGGGGGGCAGTGTGGCAGTCCTCTTTGCTTATAAGAACATGAATCCTTCTGGATCATAGTAAGGGTCCACCTGGTTAGTAAGGGTCCACCTAGCAGTTAGTTGGCAACAGAGTCCAAGAAGTCCGCAAGCAAGGCCGAAAGCTTTCTCCGTTCTTTCTCCTCAGCATTTGATATTCAGAAATCTATTTTTATTATTTACTTCATGTATACCCTATCTCTCTCCTCAATGTTTAACATATTTATATCATTGTATGGTTCATCAAATTAGTATTAATTATGATGCATGTGTTTTCTGTATTATGAACTTTTATCTTGTTGGAAGCCGCCCTGAGCCAGCCTAGGCCGGAATGGGTGGGGTAGAAATCAATAAAATAATAATGATAATAATGGGGGGAAAGTGGCTCACATCATTCTCCTCTCCTCTGTTTTATCTTCATAAGAGCCCTCTGAGGTCGGATAGGCTGGGGGGGGGGGGTGACCGGCCCAAGGTTCTCCAGCAAGCTTCCATAGCAGAGGGGGGATCTGAATCTGGGTCTCTCAGATCCTAGTCTGACACTCTAGCCACAGTGCTACACTGGTTCTCCAAGGTTCCTTTTACAGTGGAATCCTAAGAACACTTTTCTGAGAGGATGCCCCACTGAACAGAGCTGCCTTGGCGTGTCCTCTTACTTAGTAGACCGTTGCTCTGTGAATTTCCCTGACTCCTTTTGTGTAGTGAATTCTGTAAATCTGGTGCTGTGTGGAGTACTTCCTTTTCGCCTGCCCTTGTTGTATTGCCAGTCAGTTTCACTGGGTGATCCTGATCTCTAGTGTTTGTGAGAGAGGGTGAGAAATGTCATGCTACCTGTTATCAAACCTCATTCATAATTTTATATGTCTCTGTCCCGTGCTGTGAAGGTCAGGGTTTTAAATGCCACTGAAACAGAGGTAGCATGCTGCGTAGTTCAATCACAATAGTCTCTACTCAAACCTCCTACTGTCAGTAAGGGTCACCAACCTCCAGGTGGGTTCTGGAGTTCTCCCAGAACGACAGCCGATGGAGATCAGTTCCCATGGAGAAAATGGCAGCTTAAAGGGCAGACTAAGAACATAAGAACATAAGAGATGCCAATGTTGGATCAGGCCAAAGGCCCATCCAGTCCAACACTCTGTATCACACAGTGGCCAGAAATACCAGTGCCATCAGGAGGTCCACCAGTGGGGCCAGGACATTAGAAGCCCTCCCACTGTTCACCCCCCCCCCCCCAAGCACCAAGATGACAGAGCATCACTTGCCCCAGAGTCCCTATCTATACCTTGTGGGTAATAGCCACTGATGGACCTCTGCTCCATATGCTTATCTAATTCCCTTTGGAAGCCGTCCATGCTTGTAGCCGCCACCAATTCCTGTGGCAGTGAATTCCAAGTGTTAATCACTCTTTGGGTGAAGAAGTACTTCCTCTTATCCGTTCTAACCCGACCGCTCAGCAATTTCATGGAGTGCCCACGAGTTCTTGTATAGTGAGA